GGGAAGAGGAAATCTTAATTGAGAAAAGGCCTCCATAGGACTGATATGGGAGGGCCCAGCCCACCATGGATGGCACCACCCCTGAGCACGGGATCCTAGCTTGTATAAGAAAGCAGGCTGAGCAATCCATGAGGAACAAGTCAGTAAGCAGCGCTCCTCATGGCCTCTGCATCAGCTCCTACCTCCAGGTTCCTGCCTTGACTTTCCTGAATGGTGGATTACAAGATATACGATGAAATAAACCCTTCCCTTCCATGCTTTTTGTCATGGTGTTTTTTTTTATCACAGCAACAGAAACCCTGACTGAAGAAACACCGTCTTACGTCTGTGCATAATTGCACAAGCGTGCAGTTAAAATCAGATACATCATGAGAAGAGATGAGCACAAGTAGCTAAGGATGTACATAATTCAAATCTGTCAATCAGAACGAGATCCAGCCATGGTATGCACCTTACTAACAAACACTTCCTCCACCGGACCTCTTCATAAAAGGAAGCCCTGAACAATAACTAATGCCACTGAGCATTGCAGATTAAGGAGCTCCCTGCTGACTTCATCACATCCAGTCTTCAGTACTGCTAGCTCTTCCTCCATCAGACCCCATAAAAGGAAATCCTGACAGTAACTACTGCCACTGAGTATTGCAGATCAAGAAGCCTACTGCTCACTTGCATTGTATCCAGTCTGCGCTATTGCTTTGCTTCTGAATCAAGCTTCTTCACCACTTTGAAATCCTCATGTTTCTTTAATTCTTTGAATAAGGCTAAGAACACAGATGCCCTAGGTCTGGACATCAATCCTTGGTAACAGGATGAAGCCACAGTGTTCATGATCCAATCACCTCTCAAAGATCAGGGCCACCCTCCGGGGCTGGTAATACTGGTATTCAGTGGATGGGGGTGGGGGGTGGGGGGTTGGGGGGACTTAACTTTCCAAGTTAAGTCCAGCGTGAAGACCATAGCATTTGCTCTGCTCATGGCCTGGACATTCATTCCTGCCTTAGATAGAAGCCCAGGGTCCTGGCCAACAGCTGGCAATATGGCACTTTCTGTTCCTGGCTCTTCAATACCCGTGACTGGCAGAGAGCCAGTCTGGGATTCTGTTAGTGACTAAGTTTGGATCATTGAAAGACACGCAGCAGCTGGCTTTATGGTCCGCTGAGGAGCCTGTGGGAACACATTACTGCTTTTACCTTTGCTGACTCGATGGGGCTAACAGAAAAGGGACACATGTCAGCTAAACTAGCTAAGACTGCATTGAGACTCTGTTCTTGAGTTTTGAATGAAATGTTTTGGCGTTTATGTCTTGAGAGTCACACTCCAAGCACCTCTGGACTCCGGGTCCACCCCATGTCTGAGGGCCCTCATCAAGGCTCAGCTGACACAGGGCCAAGGGGCAGTCTTCTGTGTTAGAGTCACAGTCTTGTTTCCAGGTAACTTGAAGGGACCTCAGAAACACTAGGGTGAGGGGCCCTGGAGTCCAGCTCCTTTATCCCTGAACTTTGACACTCACCTTCCTACCCCAGGTGTGACAGAATATTCCACACATTTACTCCCTTTCATGCAATGATTTCATTGACAAATGGATAGAAAAAGAAAGTTCTCCATTCATTCAGTAGCTGGAATGGAAGATACAAACTTACTCAGCACACAATTAACCTTTAAAATTGATCAGGTTTTGAAAGCTGTGTCTGAGAACTCTACTAAGATCACCTTTGCTGGAGGCTGACTTTTTATGTCCTCTGCTATGGCCAGGAGGGGGCAGGCTGGGCCTGTGAATGTACTGGAGATGTTCCTTTTCCACCAGCTACGTGAAGTTTCCCCCAGTCCCCAAGGAAGTGGGGGCTGGCATCCTCTGCAGTCCCACCCTCTCCACCAGTTAGGGGCAGGACGCTTTCCTCTCCACCAGGCAGCGATCTCTGGAATTCTGGGCTAGGTCCTGTTCCCTGTCCTTCTGACAGGTCTGGATCCCTGCCTGCCCCTCCCCTGTCCTTTGGAGGTCATTTTCTCAGTTTCCATGGCAAATGTAGCTCCAGGTCAGCCCCTGCTAGTACTCTCCCCAGACCCATCTTATGCAGGAGCAGTGCAACCTTCTCTATGCACTGATTTTCTCGCCTGTAAAATGGGACTAACTGCAGAGTGTAACGGTATACAACTGTAATCTCAGAGCTAGGGAAGCGGAGACCAGAGAAGCAGAAATCCAAGATCAGGCTGAGTAACTCAAAGCATTTTAGGCCATCCTGGGTTACATGACATGCGGTTTCACAAAGCTATAAAAAGCGGAGGAAGCTAGTGATGTAGCCCAGTTCCCTGGTATGCATGAAGTCTGTGTTCAATCCCCAGCATAAACCAGGTGTGGTGGGCACATCTGTAATTCTAGCACTAGAGGGATGGAGGCAGAATCGTCAGATTTCAAGGCTACGTAGCTGTGTGGGCTGCATGATAACCTGTTGTAAAAAGGCGTGTGTGTAGGACAGGGAGGGGCTGGGGGATATGGCTCAGCAGCTACGAATGCTTGGGCTCACCCTGAGAACCTGAGTTCAGTTCCCAGCACCTGCATGGGTGGTTCCTAACAGCTCCACTGCAAATTCAGGAGATCTAACAGCCTCCCAGGTGCCCTGCACATACGCAGCTTGCATTCATGAAGATATGCCCATATACACCTAATTTTTTTTTAAAAAAAGGACATGATAAAAGGGACTAAATTAATTACCCTCTGTGAAGTGACTTTAGCAGGACCCATGAGAAATGCTATAGACGTGGATGCCTGTAGTCTTGGGAGACTGTGGATCACAGGAAACCTATGGCACTTGCCAGTGGGCCTCACAATGCTGTCATAGGGTGGGCCAGAGGATGCTGGGTAACCCACCACCAGCCACAGTCAGCCTGGGTCAGTTTGCCAGCCATAGGCCCAGGTCAGCACTGGCTCCTCCCAGGTCAGCACCGGCTCCTCCTAGGTCGGCACCGGCTCCTCCCAGGCCAGCACTGGCTCCTCCCAGGTCAGCACTGGCTCCTCCCAGGTCAGCACTGGCTCCTCCCAGGTCAGCACTGGTCTCAATACCCAGCACTTGATTCTGGATTTCCTCTACAGAGATTCCAGGCTGTGAGGCTCTTGTCTCTGCGTGCTGTGGAGAGAAGAGGATAGAGGTTTTCTGTTGTTGCTTTTAAATGTTGAGGTTGAGTTTCAGTTCAGACTCTGAAAAACGAAGGAAACTTTGAAATTTTATACAGGTGGGGTTCATTCCAGAAGCCCCTAGAGACATACCAGGCTTCTGAAAGCTCCTGAGAGCCATTGAACCTTCCTTACTGCTCTGTGATGGGTCAGCCTGGGCACAGACCATGGACACAGCCAGGGGTTGAGTTCCAGCCAAGAGAGGCCCAGAGCATGATGGGAAGGACAGCCACCATGTCCAGACACAGTCATATACTGTTCTGGGTGGGTTACCAAAGCGCAAGGAACCAGGCTCTGGGCTCCTCACTGCACAAGGCTCTTTTGTTGGGCTTAATCTCTGGAGACCAGGGTTGGCCTCAAGGTTCTGTGCAGGCCCCTCCCTGCCAAGCCCACCCCAGTTCTTTCCATCCCCTGGGAAGATCTCAGGTTCTCCTTGGCTTCAATGGTAGAGATCAAATCTTGGCTGGGTCTGTCCCAATTTAAAGAGAGTCTTTATTGTGGACAGCCTGGGTGTGGACACTGTGCAAATTCCAGCATAGCCTCTTTTGTTTTTACCCTTCTTTCTCTGTCTGGTTTCTACTGATGGCTTTAGTCAGCTGAAATATTAATTACATAAAGACGGCTGGGCCGGCAGGCTGGAGAGGTTCTCGTCTGTCTCCTTTAGCAGACCAGGAATAGGACTGGAAAGGGAGATCCTTGCTCTAGGTCACTGACTGCCACAGGGCCTTCTGCGTTTCACCATTGGTCCTCCCTGCTTCACGCTGTCCAATTCTGGACAACTCCCATTTGGGGTTCTGAGTTCTCTGCAAGTGGCAAAACATGTTTAAGACAGATGGATGATATGGAAGCCGGGTAGTGCTTGCACCCTCTCCGAAGAGAAGCAGGGGCAGCGTGAGGACCCCTTGATCTGAGTGTGGGGGCAATAGGGCAGGGCACAGGCTCCTCCCTCCCCCATCGAGTTATTCATCTAAAAGGGACCACAGAACTGTCTTGGGATAGAAAGGTAAAGGGAAGCCAGGTGGTGGTGGTGCATGCCTTTAATCCCAGCACAAGGGAGGCAGAGACAGGTGGATCTCTGTGAGTTCGAGGCCAACTTGGTCTATAAGATCTAGTTCTAGGACAGGCTCCAAAGCTACACAGAGAAATCCTGACTTGAAAAACCAAATAAATAAATAAATAAATAGATAAATAAATAAATGGGAAAGGGCCTGGAGGCTCCTGTGACTGACATGGGTTCAGAGTGGACTCGGATGCCCTGGGGGTTCTGGAGTAGACAGGAACTTATTTTCACTGTGTAAACAAATAAGGGGGTAAAATGAGTTTGGGAAAGCCACAGCTCTGGGCAGCTGAGGGCTGAGTGTTGGGGACCTTGCAGGGGGCAGTGGAAAGAGTGGGCAGAGAGGTGTTGGGGCTTTCTGTGAGCAGCAGAAGTGTTCCAGAGTGGAGAGTAGAGGGTGCTGGAGTTGGATCTAGCTCCCTCAGTGGGGCAGGGGGGGAGGGGCAGAAGAGGGGGGCACTCTACAGTAATCTGCCTCTTACTCCTTCTTTGGACGCACCTCCTGTCCAGTTGGTTTGTTAGAGTGAGTATTGAATGTATAGTGCCAATGGGACTTGGTACTATGAGCCTTGGTCAGCCTGAACCAGCTCCATGGACCAGGCCTCCGTGTGGGAGAATTGCTTCCAGGTGCAGATGGGCAGGAAGCCCTTGCACAGGTGTGAGCCACACAGGCAGCACAGAGCAGCTAAGGTGAATGCGGATTCCAGTCTTGGACTCCTGTTTCCATGGAAACCCGCTCTTGCTGATGCAGCTCTTTTTCTTTCTAGGCTCCTTCAGGGCTGCTGGGTTCAGGTGCCCACTACACCGAAGATCTGCTTGTCCCTTCCTCCAAACTCTGAGAACCAGAACTAGCTTCCAGAGCTATGCAGGGCTGAATGGGAGAAGAATGCAACTTCCTAAGCATGGAATTTTCCAAGTTAGGTAAGACAGGGGCCTGGGCACTTCTGTGTGAACAGGGAACAGACCTACTACCGTGCTGAGGTAGGTTAGTGAGACTGAGGCTTTGGGTAGCTGGTAGGTTCCCAGGGCTTTTCCTGGAGGTTCATTTTAATCTGGGAATTGTAAGCCCAGCATCACTCCACAGACCATACTCACTTCCCTGCACTTTCCTTTGTTTTGACCTGGCCGTGAAGGGGAGATTCCCGTCATCAGTAGGCAGCTGGCTTCTCTTAAATAGCTGTGGTCCATGGTCTGCAGAAAGAGCCCCGAAGTGGCAAGCCTAGGATTCTTCCGTCTCCAAAGCAGAACAGTCCCAGCTTGGACTCCAACTGCAGCCCCTCTCTTCAAGGCCTGTTTCTCTGCCCTAAGTTGCTAAGAGTGGTACCAAGGTTCCAGATGCAAACCCCTGCCAAGGCTTGCTCTCCTCTCTGGCCCCGTGTCCACTCCACTGTCCAGCAGAACTGGCCTCTGGGGATGGGGGAGTGTGTGTGTGTGTTTGCACATGCGTGTGAGCACGCCAGTTCCTGTGAGGGTAGGAGGTAACTGTGTCTCTGAGACTGGGTTTGGGGGGCATGAGATTGTTCTAAACTCAGAAATCCAATGTGTGAGGGGGATGCAGGAGGTTGCCTGAGGGTGGGGGCTGCCTTATCTGCAATTCTTTCTGAAATTAAATAAGAGATCTAGTTTTAGCTCAGCTTCAGGTGACCCACACCAGCTTCTCATCAGCTCCCATCATCCATCAGTCACTGCAGGATGCTGCTTGTGCAGCTTGGAGAGAGGTAGAGCACTGGCTTAGCCTGCACAAGAACCATCACCACACACACACACACATACACACACACACACACACCACCATAGTTTCTTTCCATGTTTACAGTAAATTGTAGACACTCTCCCCCAGCTGGGACGACCTAAGGAACCAAACATCCAGGTGGGCAGGTGCCTAGCACCTCTGGCTGGCACCCTGGTGTTTTGTGATCATCATCCAGCCCTCACTCACCTGGACACCCTGGAAATCATGATCATGGACTGCTGACTCTAAGATTGTTAATTTGACAGTGACCTCTCCTTCTAGGCTACCAATAATCCTGGCTTAGTTGGGACAGAGAGATTCACAGACAGGGAAGCCCTAAGGCCAAACCCAGGGCATCTCTGGGCAGCCCAGTTGGTCACCCTTTTACCCCCTTTCACACTCACTTGAGGTGGACGTTTGAGGAAGGAAGAGCCCCACTTAGAAGGCTCTGTCTGTGCCTGTGTGCTAAGAAAGAGGGCACGAGCACTCTAGAATAGTGACACTGGATGGGAAGGGAGGGTGGCTGGTTGTGATTATTTTAACTTGAAGATCTCTGGGAGCCGGTCCCTGAGGCAGCCAGGGCTGCTGTGACTGAATGATGGGCAGCAGTGGGAAGGGGAGTTTTCAAAAGGAGCAGAATTTCACACTGAATCTTAATCTGTTTCACACAGAGACTCATAAAATCCCGATATAGCCCCAGACTGTCATGTTTATAGACAGCATCAGCCAGTGTGGCAGAGGCAGTGACTTGGAGGGAGACCAGAGTTTGCAGAATAAATGCATCAGGGTAAGGCTTGCAATAAAATAGTAGAGCAGCTCCCCCCAGCCAGGAGAGGCAGAGCGCCTGATGCTCTCACCTGGCTCTCTTACAATGCATGTGGGCTGAGTTACAGGGAAGGCTGCTGCAACGTTGCTCTAGTCCACGTCAGCCCATGCCCTGCACCGGACATGTCCTCTTGTGCAAGATCTAACCCCCCAGGGGGAGCTGACTTCTCCGGTAGGCATAAAGCTGGTGTGTCTATGATAGTGAGTGATGTAGGTGTTAGCTGTCAATTAGCGGGTGTACTTGGGTGGATTCAGAAGTGGCTGGAAGTGGTTGAGTAATAAGTGGAACTCACTTGTTTCTTAAGAGTGAGTTATAGGAGTTCAGGGGATAGAGATGTTCCCAGGGATGCTCTGGAGGCACTCCCCCAAGGGGCTGTAAAGCATTCAGGCATTCCAGGCATGTGCAAAGGCTGAGAGGTGCTTGTGGCGGGGGGGGGTTCATGGAGGCAGAAGGAGAAACATGGAGAGGTGAGCCTGTCATCAACAGGAGGCAATACAGGTCCATGCTGCTGGTCTGCAGCCAGAGGAGAGGAGTACTCCCATCCCAGACTCCCCAGAGCCCCTGGGAGTACATCTAAGTCCTTAACATCCACCACAGAAAATACTTTTTGTTTTGTTTGCCTAGCTTTGGATCTATTCAGTAGATTAGGCTGGCCTTGAACTCACAGAGATCCGTTTGCCCCTGCTTGCATGCCTGGATTAAAGGTGTGCCCCACCACCTGGTTCCTATAGAAAATAATTTTAGGAGGAGTTAAAGTTAAGCTGAGTTTATTGATTAAGCAGAAAGACAGGATACATTTGAAGAAGTCAAGTGCCTGGGTTAGGAGAGCAGTGCATGTCAGGACCTCAGCAGTCTTTCCATACATGGTTTGGGGGCTGTGAAGCTGCTTGGTGTGCAGCTGAGTTTAGATGTTAGCATGTGTTAGTGTGCTCCTGTTCTTACCAGCAGAATTCTGTCCTTGAAGAGGAAACACTGTGGGGTACACTGCACAGCTTTCTGGTGAAGCAGGAGAGCTAGTAGAAAAACAAAACAAGCAAACAAACAAAACCAAAAAACCCATGGTCAGAGGAATCTGTACTCACACATATGTTATAAGGAGGGTGGATTTAAGGATGGCCTGTAGACCATTCTTAGTGATTCCATTTGTGGCAGTTGTTGGAAACGTGATACAGTTCCTTTGTAGGCAGTCCGGTCAGTTACAATGAACACTAGATGTCAGCTGGGGCCTGGGGGTGGTGTCTGGGAATCAAATCAGAAGAGTGAGGGAGATCGTTTACCTTCTCATGGTCTCCTCTATTTCCTAACTGCTATCCTAACTCAAGTCAAACACCCCCTAGCCTTGGTGGGGGCGACGAGAGGAAGAAAACTCAAACCCATACCCAAACTTTATCTCTAAGAGAAATGACTGTCTTGATACCACTTAGGGAGGATGGGCTTGGGTACCAGAGCAAAACCAGCCACTGTCAGCATCAAAGGCTGGAGTGAGACAGGGCTTCACTGTCCAAACAGCAGGGCCTGGGCCTGTAAGTCTTGGTCCTGTTCCTGTGCACTCCCCAACACTGGCTTGCCTATGGGTTAGCATAATGGTTTCCAAGTTTTTTTTTCCAAATTATGTACTTTAGAGAAGCAATTTCCAAACATTGGTCTGTGTGGAAAACTCGAGGAACGAGTCAGGCGTTCCCTGGTCTGAGGTAAAATGTGGAACATAAAGGAAATGTAATGAGTTTTTCATAAGCTGAGTTTATTCAACTTAAAGGGATATATTGACATGGCACTGAGGTGATGTTTTTACTGCCTCGCTGGCTTTCTTTAAAGCAACCCAGGTCCCCAACGTAACTTAAACTTAACATCTCTGCTTCCGGAGAACCTACAGGCCAGAAAACACCATTTGCATCACCATTGAGTTCCCTGACTAGAATACATGTTGGTGACATGGGGGAATGTTGTTGGTAATAACAGGAACTTTTAATCTGAGCAGTTTCACCCTTGGGAAGACAGCAAGAGAGCAAGACTCATGTGGACACAAGGGAAGCAATGTCCCGTCCCTCCTGGAAAGACAGAGAGACCTGGAGGGTGCAGAGCCTTCACTTTTGCCTCCTTGATATTGTTGCATGGAAAACATGCGTTCCTGCAGCGGTGAGGGGAGCAGGCTGGACGGGGCTGTAAGGTCAAATGCAAACACATAGTCCATGTTTCTTTGAGCTGGATCTGGAGTAGGAGATGCATTTTTCTCCTTTGTCCTAAGTATAAATAAGATCAGAAAGTTGTCCATGACGCCGATTGCAGGCCACTCTGACACTTTGCTGTCACACCTCTCAGATTGCTTTCCAGCCGTGCTCTTTCCTCCGAGTCAGAGAGTACAAAGGACAAATCAGCATGCCAGCTCAGAGCTTACAGCCCTGGAGGATGGACAGGTGAGTGGCAGGATGCTCAGGTGGGGCAGGTGTGGTCACCTAGGTGGAGTCTAATGAATTTACCCAAACTCCCATCTAAATCCCATCAGAGAGATGGCAAGGGGATTGAAGAGAGTACACACCATTGGGACAAAAAGCATTCCATTGGAAGGTCGGCTGGGAGCTGGTGTTCATGGGAGCTGTAGATTTCTCAGATGCTGTAACTTAACAGCACAGATGGGCTTATTTATAAACATGAGAAACTTACCTCTCACAGATGTGGAGGTGGGAAGGCCAAGGGTCAAGGCCCCCGATGGATCCAGTGTCCCATGAAACTCTGTCCTTTGTTGCTGCATCACTGGTGACCAGGGAGAGTGCCTGCAAACTCCCCTCCCCGCCAAGGAAACTGATTCCGTTCCTGAAGGTGACACCCTTGTCACCTCCTCTCTTCAGGCTCCACCTCCTAAGACTTTCACACTGGGTGATGGGTTCCAGCTTGTGGATTTGAGGTGGGGAAAAAGTATATATCAAGACCACAGCAATGGGGGTGGTATCACATTGTGGCACGATTAGTGGTCAAGAGGAAGCCATCAGAAAGCTGGGGTGTGAAGTCAGGTCCAGAGCCTGTCAAGAGAACAGCTGGACTCAGGCCACCTTGGTTCTCCTTGAAGAGTGGGTGTCTGCTCCCTACAGTCCTGCAGAAGCCTGGGCTCTGCATCCTGGGGAGACCTGGTGGAGGGATGGCCATTCCCAAGATGCTGCACAGCTGGGAAAGGAGGACTCATAGAAATGTAGTAGCCAGGCAGGGTGGGGCCTCCAGAACATGGAGCCCTTCCAGACAGGCATGTGTGTGTGGGGGTCCCCTCTGTAGAACAGACTAGCCTGAAAGCAAGGCCCCAGTTGCTGGTTGTTCCAATTTCCTTGAGGCAAAGGTCCTGAGAGATTGCTCTGCAGTCCCTGAGTCCTGACAGACACAGTAGACTTTCAGTGTCTCTCCTGATTGAGAGCAACAGCCAAAGCCCATGGGATGTTTGGAGAGTGTGATAGGTGGTTTTAGGCATGCTCCAGTGAGTGGGGGTATAGTGCAGAGAGCAAAGGCAACTAAGGAGCAGCCATAAAGAATTAAGACTGGGTGGTGGTGGTGCATGCCTTTAATCCCAGCACTTGGGAGTCAGATCTCTGAGTTTGAGGCCAACCTAGTCTACAGAGTGAGTTCCAGGATGGCCAGGGCTACATAGAGAGACCCTGTCTCAAAAACAAAAACAAAACAAACAATCAAAAAACAATTAAAGGCATTTGAAACAGCAGTGCCTAACAAAAAGGAACTTAAATATAACAGAGGGGTCTTGGAGATTCAAAATAAGATAGCATTGTTATTTTAAAAAATCTATAGAAGAACCAGAAGAAATTAGAAAGGGGGGGGAGGCAGCCGAATAAAAAAGAGTGGAAAACTAGAAGATTAAGCTAGGAAAGAGAGTGTGATGGCCATGGCCATAGCCTTCAGTACAGGGGAAGGAAATGTGACCCAGCTGTCCCTGGGTTGTAAAGTCTGCATATGTCTTCAGGCCTGGGGTGTCTGCGACAGAAAGCCCTTTCCAACCAATGCTGAGGAATCTGACTATATGGTCAGGAACAAGACTTGTTGCTGGGGACAGTCAGTGGGCACACAGTCCTCTGTGCTCTGGAATACACATTCACCAACTCACACACTCACTTTATAGAGTGTAGTATTTCTAACCTGGCCTGTGAATAACAAGGAGGAGGGGCAGACGGCAAAGGCTAGGTTTAAAAGCAGGAAGTCAAACCTGGGACACATGGCTGTTCCAAAATAGAACTTCTCAAGTTCTTATTATTTTTAAACTCTTTCCCTCTTAACTTTGAAGGGATCTTTTTGTTCTTTTTATGTCTTGAATTTGTTTTTAATGAGCATGTTTTTTTAAACAACAAAAAGCCGTTATTATTCTTCAAACATTTCTTTTTGAGTTTTCTCCTCTCCATCTGGTTTGCTTCATAAAAATGAGAGAGAGAGAGAGAGAGACAGAGAGAGAGAGAGAGAGAGAGAGAGAGAGAGAGAGAGAGAGAGAGAGAGAGAGAGAGAGAGAGGAGGGGATTTATTCAGAGGCTTTCTTACTGTCCCAGGACAGGAGAGCAGCGGGCTCTGGAACTTGGGAGGGTGGATGGGGCCCCCTCCTTCCCTCAGTAGATACTAAATTCCTGGGAAAGAGTTGGGAGGCTGTGCTTGCATGGTGGCTTTCTCTGTGTGGCTGCCTAGTATAAGACCTCCCTTTATCCTGGAAGCCCAGCAGGCTCTTGCAGAATCCCCAGGAGAACCATGGGAGACAGCTGTCAAGCATCCTTCTGAAGGATGTGGCCAGGGCCCGGTCCTTCCCCTCTCAGTTTCTACTTCACTTGACCCTTATTTGAAGACAAGTGTATGGTTTGGAAACTCAAATTGCCCTAAATCAGCAGGTGCCAGCTGCCTCCCTTTTCTCCTATCTCTCCTTGTGTCCCTTCAGTTGAGAGAATTTGAAGGTGAGCATGGGGAAGGGGACATAGGGGGAAGCAGTGTTCACTCACTCATTCATTCACCCTGTACTGAGTGACCTTTACATCTAACCTCGTGCAGCCCCTGAGACATAGATCTGGATGAAACACTCTAAGGCCAGTGTCATCTCCTCTTGGTGTGAGCATCTTGTCCTTAAGTGAGTGAGATGGTGGCCCCAGGATGGGATGAGGATCACCTTCTGGGGAGGTGGCTTCCTCCACGGGACTCAGGGATGATGGCAGCATGTTCTCCAGAAAAACTTCATCTCCTGTGATGACTTTCAACAGTCCTGCGTTTCTCTACCTCTGGGCCATGCTGATTGGTCCAGAGCTGACTGACTGGAGATAGTCAGAGTGAGATGTTACCAGAAAGCTTGGTTCAGCTCCTTGAATGATATCTTGTAAGCTTGGGCAAACCAAGTACCATCTACGTCTCATCTGAGAAATGAGTCCACGTCACCCAACTCATGGCCATGGCACAGTGAGCTGTGATGATACTGTGAGAGATACTCATCACTGTGCCTAATCTTGGTGAATAGTGCCACAGATACATGGGGAGGGGAATGAAAGGCTTCTTGGGTACCTTGTTCCTGATTTAGGTCCTTCTAGAGGTCTAATTTTTCCTCCTGCCCTTGACATTCATAATTCAAGCTGTGTAAATCCTGCTGTCTGCTATCTTGGTGGTGGTGGTAGGTTCTGTTACTTGCAAAACATTCCTTTATGTTTGACTGATCCAAATAGGGACAGGGCTGTATGAGGACAGGAGGATGACTTCTAGGACCTCTGGGCAAAGAAGGACATGTTTGGGCATGTGCCATTTAAGATGGCAAGGGCTGGGTAGGGGGACCTTCGCCTAGGCTGGGGGACCAGTTGACAAAGCAAGGCACCATGAGAGCAGCTATTGTACTGTTGATGCCAATTAAGAAATAGTTGTTACCTCCTTCCTGAGTCCAGGGACAAGACACAGCAGGTAAAGATACTCACTTTGTGACCTTGATCACTGGACTTTGGTTCCTGGAACCCACATATAGGTGGAAGGGATAGTACTAACCACAAAACTAAACTGTCTTCTGTTCACACGTGGGCTGTGGAATGCATGTACACATACAACCCATAATAATAATGAATAAAATCACATTTGAAAGAGGAAATTGGGGCTAGAGAGGTGACACCACTTTAATGGCAGAAACCTGAGCATTTCTAATGACCCAATCCTTGCATTTAATCAATGTATTCATCTGTTGTTATACCCTTCAATTATCAACCCCACTGCAATTGGTGGGAAGACCCACTGGGTTCATGGGGAAGGGGGTGGGGACGAGAGGATTAGGTGACAATAAGAGCTGCTGGAACCCTAACTCCATGTAGAAAGCTTGGGAACTAACCACCACCCAACAACTTTTGTACATAGCAGACCACCACGTCACCTGGCTGCTCTGAGGGGCTTGTGATAATCTTGGCCAGAGCCCTGCCAACCAGATTGGGCTCTGTCTGCCTGCTCACTGGCTGTCTCAGGGTTCCTCATACTCAACACAATGCCGTGTTGTTGTCTGGTTCTCATTTAAGCCTGAAACAGCCCAGGATCCAGAAACCCAATATAGATCAAAAAGGTTTTAATTTAGCAATTTCATATATAAAAAAAGAGTCTGGCTTCGTCCCTGCTTTTTTTGTACTGCTGCCCTTCCCAGTCACCCTGCATTTTTATTGCAGGCCTCTTGATCTGGACTCTCAAGTTAGGGTTTGCTGTGTTTTCAGAGGGTCAAGTTCTTCCCTGCATTCAGGGAGAATGCAGGAATCTGACCTTTCCTATTGGAGACACATATTTAAAAGGTTACATTTACTTATGTTTCTCCACCCCCACATACATGGAGGTTAAAGGTCAGCTTGCTGGAGTAGGTTCTCTCTTTCCACCATGTGGGTCCTGGGTATTGAACCCACGATGACAGAGGTGGTGGCAGGCACCTTTAGCTACTGAGCTAAAGTGTCATCAGCCCAGAAGACCCATATTGACAGCTGTTACCATCTTAGTGACCTGATCCAATGACTACACATTTCCATTATGACTGCATGGTGGTTATCTCTTGTGGATGGATAAGGGCTTGTGTGTGGGGTTCCCTGTTAGGGCTCCAGGCCAGGAGCCCTGGGTCCCAGTAAGTCAGGAGTTAGGTCCCTAAGACAGTCAGGGTTAATCAGGAGGTAGTCTTACACAAGTCACGACTTCCCTGATTAGACGAGTCATTAATGACCACCTCTCAATTGTGCCAAGGACATTCATAGACCATGGGGACTCCACTGGATCAGCCCAAGATGTGCTCAGAAAGGAGCAAACCCAATAGAGATGGCCTCTGTCGCTATCTAGTTTCCACAGAGGGTAACTGGGCCAGACAACGTTTTGGGGTGCCTCTCTTGAGGCCCTTCACTCTCAGGTGTTATTTCTCACTTTCTCGTCATAGTTCTTTCTTCTCACTCCTTAACCACATTTCTTATTCTTCTCGAGCCGGAGACAGTGAAAGCCACTGGCTTGGGGTAGCTTTAGTGAAATCAGTCATCTGACACCTTTGTCTCCCAAGTTCTCTAAGAGCTGACTCTGTCACTGAGAAAGCCCACATTGTAGAGTCAGGATAGGACTAAGTTCTCTTTGCCTCCTTTAACCCAGTGACATTCTTCTAAGTTGTGATTGTCTGGCAGGGTCACCCCTCAGGGCTGTGCATTACACTGTGATCACTCTTGTTAACCCTTGCCTCCCCAGGCTACTTGAATGGTGAGTGCAGCTCACCAGCCAGCAATGAAAGTAGCTCTCAACCTTAAGTGGATAAGAGATAGTTCATTCTTGAGTCAATAGGAGTGACCATGGCCCAAGAACTTAGGTTCAGGTTGTCCCAAATGACATGTTCCAATGTGGAAACAGTTTCATGAGATTTTTATATTTGTAGAAGAAAAGGCAATTCTAAATCAAGTTATTTTTTAAAAATACATTGGCGGGAATGTTATGTAGGTGGGAAAATCTGCTATGGGTTTCAAATGTCATTATTAGCTTTGGGGTTTGTGGCAAGCTAATTTTATATATTCTAAAAGGCTTTACCTGATAGTCAAATGATTTCAGGTTACACACAGAGATGAGCAATGAATCAAGGGAAATGAAGATCATCCAAAATAATTTTGGCATTGGATCTGCAGCATTTCAACTCTCCACAACCACAGCTTTCTAATCAGCCAACTGGACTTGTAGAATCTTTAACATAGATACGTGTGGGGGTATGTGTTGTGTTTGTGAGTGTGTGTGTGTGTGTGATGGATGGATAGTTAGGTAGATGGATAGACAGAGGGAGGGAGGCAGAGAGAGGAGAGAGAGAGAGAGAGAGAGAGAGAGAGAGAGAGAGAGAGAGAGAGAGAGAGAGAGAGAGAGAGTTCAGTTCACATGGGCCAGGGGTATGCAGGGAATGGTACCCAGAGAAGGCATGGCTAGAGATGAGAGGGCTGAGCATTGGGTTGGATGCTCAGTGAACATTCTCAACAATAATCCACCACCATTCTACCCATGCAGACCCTGGCTCTGAGATCTGCCCTTCTGTCTCAGGCCTCTACTCCCAGCCTCAGTTTCCCTCTAGCTGAATTTGTAGACCCCTTTCTGGCCTCAACTTCTCTCCTTCTCACACCATCCTGGGTGAGCTCACAGGGCTGTCATGACACAGGACCATCAGCTCTTTGATGATCACATTGGCGGCAGCAGCATGGGCTCAGCAGGCCTGGAGGGATGTGGAGGACTGGTGTAGGGTGAGACAGATGTTAGCAGGACTCTGGGCTGAACTGACCTCTGAAAGAGGTACCTTTGGCTGAGGAGGGAGGCGGGCGGAGTCACAGGGAGGAAGACCACCTTCACAGGCGTGGATAGAAAAGTCTATGTGGCTGGACAGAAAGCATCTGTCCAGGTGGCAACTGGTGGTGGAGGGGAGCATGGTTTGTACAGCCCACTCTCTTCCCTGAGAATGTATGCACAGTGGCTGATGGTGGAGAGACATTTTCTTCAGAGGGAAAGGCCCTGGTAGAGTTCCCATGGCTCTGTGAATAACGCCTCACCCATGCTTCTGTAAGCAACCTACTGAAACCCATTGGGTCATATACAAGACTTGAAAGTAGAAGGAAGGGAATCAGTGGAGCGGGAGGCAGACAGGAGAGGATAAAGGGGGTGAGTGTGATCAAAATATTATATACATATATGAAGATGTCATAATGAAACCCATCACTGTTGTAATTAATATGTTAATAAAACATTTAAAGAGATGGTTTCAGGCATGGCCAGAGATATTGGGAGTCAGAGAGGTTGGTTTTTCCCCATCTTTTCTTCAGGGCTGTGGGACAGATGTGCGGTACAGATGCATGATACCGTTCAAGGAGTGCTGCTAAACCTGTGTGGACACAGCCTGAATTGCCCGGCAAGATGATCACACTCCATATAGAAAATGAGCCTTACCCGGAGAGCAGTGAGTATTTTCCCGGGATTTTTAGTTAAGTAAGGATGCCAAGGTTATAATAATGGTGGATTTAAAAGGTCAAGCTGTGGAGAAAGGGTCAGAGGAGGGAGGAGCAGGGGCAGGCTTGGAGGACCCCTGGGAATCCAGGGGAGGCATGGTCAGGGCTTCTCTGGGTCAGTGTGGGGGCCGTGGGAGGGGAGACATGTTGATGTGGTCAGGACACACTCTGCAGTGCTTGGAGTCTGACAGGGGTGGGCCAGCAATGGCCAGAAGAAAGTGTCAGCATAAGCGCTTCCTGTGAAGAACAGGCTCTGAAGCCAGCTTCCCTCTGCTGTTGCCTACGCCACAGACTTTCTAGGGTTTTCTTCCTCCACGGTTTGAGTGATGCTTGAAAAATAATTTTCCTTGCCGCTGATAACAGCGAGGTAATTCCTCGTTTCTGTATCTCATCCATGCTGGCCTTCAATACCTAAAGAATTGTGCTTGACTCTCACCACCCACACACCAACGCAGTTCCGGAGAAGCAGAAAACATGGATGCAGGAGATGGAAAAGGGTTTGTGTCACTGGAGTCTGTACTGGCCTGTCCTTGGGGTTCCGACAGGATACACCCTCAGCTGCAGCCACTAAGAGCACCACCTGTGCACATTCACTGTGTTCCCTTTTAAAAGGGCCCTGCATACTTCTCATCCCTCTCCCTCTTTCGTTCTCTCCCCTCCTCTGTTCTCCTCTTTCCTCTCTCTCTCTTCCTCTCTCCTTTCTTCTCTCTCCTGATGCTCCTGTCTCCCCCAACCTCTTCCCCCTTTTTATGATCCCCTTCCTTAATAAAAATACCTCTGCTTGAATCCTGTCTCATGGCATCTTTCTCTCACACGCTGCTTTTCTTAAATTACAACAAGAGTACCTCAGGCCAGGTTTGCCTGCAGTCCTCAGCTCATACATGGGCTAAGCAAGGCCAGGTAGTCTTGACTCTGCAAGGCAGTGTCAGCAGTTTGGTAGTTTACCTCCTGAGTGCCCTGCCCCCCTTTTCCTGAGCACAGGATCAGAAACACACACACACACACACACACACACACACACACACACACACACACACACTTGTGTTCTACACAATGATGTCATAACTTAATTGAATAACAATAAATTCACAAAATATTATTGACTGCCATTTACAAAGCAGTCCTGATTTCCCTTGATAGCTGGCTGCAGGCAAAAGAAGGCTCTTTGGTTTCAATCTTAACTACTAACATTAACTCTCAGATGATACATTCCCCTTAATATCTATTAGTATGTATATATGTGAGTTACATAATGGCTTTTGTAGTGTTAAAGAGACCACAGCAGAGTTCAAGGGATTTAAAGTGGCCTTACTAGGGGTATAGACAGGGAGTTGATATAGATGCCAAGAGAGCCATTGCTGGTAGTTAGGTTAAGATATCAAATGGCTTCCATGGACCACAGGATAGGAGTTAATGCAGGTATAACCCAGGTGCTTAGATGCAAGGACACTATTGGTTTGTGAGCTGCAATTATTAGACCACTGAAAATGCATAAGCCATAGTTCTTGAAAGGGACTTCCTTAGGAGCCTGAAGTCAACACTCCTGTGTTTTCGGGTCTCCTAAGGCAGGGTATGGTGGGCTCTTCTGATCTATCACTGTAGAGGCATCATCACAGTTCTAAACCCACAAGCATGGATCTCAGGAAGAAAAGACTGCCTCTTCTTGGATTTTTGGAGTAGTTATCAAAGGGAGAAAGCAGTCTTTGTAGGAGAAGGAAAGCGTTGCATTCCTGGCCTTGCTGAGGGCTGATGCTGCATTAGAGGTTGAGGGTGAGGAGGCATAGCATAGCCTGGGGAGTTTCTTAAGGACACATGGAACTCCCTTTGATTCTAGGCAATGTTTTTCACTTAGCACATAAATCATTTGGCAGGAACACAGAGGCAAGCCTTCAGAGAAAGATTCCCATTGCTTGGAATAAGCTGTGGCTAGCTGGTTTCTTTGGGACAGCCAGAGCCCTTGGTCCTGCTCTGTGAAGACCAGGCTCTGTTCCAGAATGCCTGCGAACATCTTTTTAATTTACATTTTTGTGATAGTGCTGGGATCAAACCTAGGACTCTGTATGTCCTGGGTTAGTGTCCTTCCACAGAACCCAGCTGAGCATCTCAGGAGAGGAGGGCAGGCAGTGCCTCTCCTCTCGGGGAACAGAAGGTTAGGCATACAGCTGGGATTCTGCATGTTGTCCAGAGGGCAGTGAGGTTTAAAGGAAATTCCACAGATGATTCTAAGGAGCCACCCTCAGCCTTACCCTGCCCCATCTGGAAATTCCATCCCAGGATAAAGCATCCACGTGGGAGCTAGGAGGAGAGGGCACTTTGCTGATGTCTAGCTACTCCTTGGGGGCAGGGCACAGTCCACTTTCTCAGTTCCTGACAATGGCAAGGATGGCTGCTAGGATCCCATACCTGCTTAAGACCCACAGAGAAGCAAGTATGTGTCTGCCCTGGAAGTAGTGTTGGAATCTTCAGCTAATGGAGGCTAGCCAAATCCTGTACAAATCTCTCTTTGAGAGCCTACAGAAGACCTTTCCTGCTCTGCCAGAGGAGCAGATGTGCACCTGTTTGCAGGTAGCATCATCCACTATGCACCAGGTGTAGCTTTTAGTGTGCTCCCAATGTTCCCAGGGTCCCACCAACTCAGCAGGCACACAGAATTGTTCTCCTTTGGGGGACTGTGTTGGTTATGGTTTACAAATGCTGCAATAAAATATCATGACCAAAAGCAACTTGGAGAGGAAAAGGTTTATTCAGCTTACATTTCCATATCACTGTTCAGCATCAAAGGAAGTCAGGACAGGAACTCAAGCAGGCTGGAAACCTGGAGGCAGGAGCTGATGCCCACGGAGGGGAGCTGCTTATTGGCTTGTTCCTCTTGGCTTGCTCAGCATGTTTTCTTATGGAACCAGGGCCACCAGCTGGAAGGTAGTCCCACCTACAATGGTTTGGGCTGTTCCATATCAATGGGTAATTAAGAAGATGCTGTAAAGACTTGTCTACAGCCAGATCTTATGGAGACATTTTCTCAGTTTGAGGTTCCCTCTTCTTAGATTCCTCCAGCTTGTGTCAAGTTGACATAAAACTGTCTAGCACAGGGCCTGAGTGAACTGAGTTAAGATGCTCCTGTCCTGTGGCACTACTGAAAGAGCTGGGGGTAGATGCTTACAGCCCTGGCATAACCCTATAGAGTCTATGACATTTCAACTCTGCAAAGATCCAGTCTTTGCAAAGCAGCAGCCACTGTTTTGGGCAGGAAAGACCTCCCCCACCTAAACTCTGGAGACAAACATGTCTTTTCCTAGAACCTATTGCATATATCTTTTTCTCCTGGGCAGGGGCTGCTCTGCCTCCATCTGGGAAGTGGACTGGAGGGTCCCATTCCTGCAGGCAACCGTGCTGTACTTCTCCATTGTAGGTGGAGTCCTCGGCAAAGCATCTTGCTTCAGCCTCAGCCATGGCTCTCTGCCCAGCAAGACTGTCAGCAATGTCCCAGCACCCTGGCCTTAGCCAGTTGGCATGCTGGAGTCCAACTGTACTTACAGTGGGGATATTTTTTATGACCCTGATTGTTCCCTTTTAGATCCAGACTCATTGCTCTGCGCATCAGCAGTTGAAATGCAGCCCTCATTTGGGCCTTCAAGTGACCATCAAGATCTCTTTCTGGTCCCTCATGTCCCAGGAAGCAGGCAAATCCCTTCTGAGATGTTATTTGAGGCTCCAGATATTCTACTGAGCCAATAGTGCTGGGCCAGTGCTGTTTACCGCATACTGCAATTTCTCAAGAATGGAAACGTGTGTCCAAGTGTGCTAATCCAAAATCTTTATTAGAAGATGGCACTGTGAAAGTAAAACCATGAAGACAGACACAGGCCTCTAATCCCAGCACTCGGGAGGCAGAGACAGGCGAATCTCTGTTTGAAGCCAGTCTGGTCTACAAAGCTACACAGAGAAATCCTGTCTTGAGAAAAAAAAGTAAAACCATTACTGTCATAAACACATATCAGATTTCTTTAATTCACCACTTATTGAAAAACAGGTTATTCTAACAACATATACATTTGAGATGCAGAAGTGAGTTAGATACAGATGCAGACAAGAAGGGGTCCCAAAATGAACTTAGAAGCAGAGAGGAAGATAGTTAATCTCTGGTTTATTTGACCATCTTTGGGCAGGACTCATTTGCAAGAATAACTTTTCACAATTTTAGAACCACAGACAATGAAAGGATCAAGCTCATACAGATTGGCTAAGTTAGCAGGGTTATACTGGCCAGGATGACAGGGGGTTTCTGTTAATTTTCTGTTTTTTTCCCCACATTTTTCACCTGACATTCTCAGTGACGCAGGCATGCTTGCACAGGTATAAGCGTCTGTCGGGCTGTGTTTGATGCTTTCATCCTGAGGTGAGGCTCTGGGCAAGCGGGTGGCTGAGCCCAGGCAAAGGGGGAAACTAGGCTTCTGGTTCAGACTCTGGTTTTAAGGTCATTCCCGAGTTCCTCAGAGGAGGAGGTGGGGAGGGGGCAGTTGTGGGCTCTGCAGAGAAGCAGTCTGCCTCAGGTACAACTGTCTTACCCCTGATCTTGAGACTTTTGCACATTTGTACCCCATACGCTCACGGAGAGTCAGACGTATGGCAGTCCTTCTAAACGACTCATGGGTGTAGGGCAGATTGTGTACCCCCAAAGATAAGGTGATCCCGACACCAAGCACCTCAGAGTATGGCCCTATGTGAAATAGGGTGAATGTAGATGTGATTAATCAAAAGAGGCAGCTATAGGAGAAAAGGGCATGTGACAACAGAATAGGGATTGAGGGCTGCAGCTGCCGGGGCACAGCCTGGTAGCTGGCTGACAAGGCACCAGGCTGGAAGAGGCTCGTAGGGAGCCTCCCCCAGAGCCTTTGCAGAAAGGAACACAGCCCTGATGATACCTTGGTTTTGAGCTTCTAGCCCTCAGAACAGTGAGATAATAAATTTTAGTTATTTGTTTTAGCCATATAGTTGTTGATACTTTGCCACAGAGACCCAAAGAAACTACTACAGTTACCATGGACACCATGGTTATTCTGGGAAGATGTCCTGTGGCTCTGAGAACCTCCATGTTGTTAGGATGGAATCCTAGCTTAATCTGGCTTCTTGGTGGCATGCACCATTTTTACCCTTCAAAAGTTGATTGTGGCTTTACACGCTAGAAATTGAAAGGGAAAAGCTATTGGCGTATATGATGGACACTGAGGTGTTCCCTCAGAGCTTGGGAATGAGGGACAGGACAACTCACTAAAAACTGTGGTCAAACCAGCACAGAGTGTGGATGGGAAAGTGATGGATAATTCTGGCTTGAACAAAGCCTATCCAGGCCAATTTCCTCAGTAGATACCAGAATATCATTGACAGAAAGACAGAGATTCAGCAGACATAAGATAGTTGAAGAAGGTCCATGGAAATGTGTAGGACAGCATATCTCAGGGCAGATGGGACATTGGGCTGCAGACTCAGTGTCCTGTCTATGTAGAAGGTGGAGCTTGGCCTCCCAGAGCAAGCTGGGGGCAGATAGCATGGGAGGATTTTGGATCCACGCTGGAGTCATAATGGCCAGGCTGTGTGAT